CCCACAATCTGGACATTCAAAGGGTTTCTCTCCTGTGTGAATCCTCTTGTGTATCACTAGGTGGGAATTCTGATTGAAACATTTCCCACAATCGGGACACTGAAAAGGTTTTTCTCCTGTGTGTGTCCTCTGGTGGTTCACCAGGGTGGAATTCTGATTGAAACGCTTCCCACAGTCAGGGCACTCAAAGCATTTCTCTCCTGTGTGAATCCTCTGATGTAACAACAGGCTGGAATTGAGAGTGAAACTTTTCCCACAAATAGCACATTCAAAGGGTTTCTCTCCTGTGTGAGTTCTCTGGTGTATCTCCAGGGAGGAATTTGCAGCGAAACGTTTCCCACACTCTGGACACTCATATGGTTTCAACCTGGTGTGAGTTCTCTGATGTATCACAAAGTTCCCATGCTTGATAAAGCATTTACCACATTGGGAGCAGTTGTAGGGCATCTTCCTATATGGATCCTTCTATGAATCACAAGGGAGCTATTCTGACCAAAGCATTTGCCACATTCAGAGTATTTATATGGCTGTACTCCAGTATGGATGCTCTTGTGATTTGAACTCTGTTCTTTTCTCAGAAGAACCACAAATTGTGTGGCTTTCTGAAAGAAATGGAAAATATCTTTTATTCCTGCTTCAATTTGCTTTGCTTTTCAATGTTGCTTGTTGTCCAGTGTGCTGATATTGGTATCATCCTTGTCTATAAGATTAAAATTAAAGTGTAAGTTTAATATTTATAAAATGGATTCAGAACATGTGAGTAGTACAAGTAATCCTTGAGGTACGACAGGCCATTTAAAGTATGTTCAAAGTAACAACCCGCCCCCAATGCTAAATACAAATCTGTTTTAAAGTTGAAATTTTGCAGCCCCCACCCTGTCCCTCATCCTTATGATTGACTGAAGAGATGCTGCAACACAAATAAATTTCCCTCCCACCTTGCCTGGTCAATCCTCAGTCGACAGAGACCCCTGCTTTGCCAATATACTGGGTTCTTTGCATTCCTCCTCAACACCAATCCCCCATCACCATTCCCTTACTTAATTTTTGATGAGCTCAAGAAGTCAACTGGGCTACGTGGCATAATCAAGAAGAAGAAATATGATCTCTTTTGTTTCCATGGCAATCCTTTCGCCCCTAGTAGTGATTTACCCTGGCTGGGGATGAGAGGATTGGCATGGCAACAAAAGAGATCGGATTTCTTCTCTGCTCTATCAGCGCTAGCTTTACGTTAGTCTTATGCTGGTAGAGCAAAGAAGAAACCCCATCAATTTTGTTTCCATGCCAATCCTTTTCTCCCCAGCCTGGGTAAACCACTATACCTTTTTAGCACCGCCAGCATAAAACTAGCACCAGCCGAGCTAAGAAGTAGCTCGTAGTAGTAGTTTATGCTGGCTGGGGCGAAGGGATTGCCATGGAAACACAACAGATTGGATTTCTTCTTCTTGATTGTGCAACATAGTCCACTGAGGGAGTGGCCTCCTCTACTATGACTTCCTGAGTTCATCAAAATGTAAGTAAGCGAAGGGTGATGGGTTGGAGTGTGGAGGAGGCCCATGGGGCTTTGGGGAAACCAAAGGGCAGGAGGCAGAGCATGGGATATCCTAGAGGGGAGGGGGGAGGCCTTCTGGGAGTGCCTGTGTCCCCAATAGGACCCTCTCGGTTCCTCCCATCCCTGAGTCACCCCGTGCTCTAATGACGCACACATTGGTGTAACAGATGCATTGGGAAAAGGAATAGGGAGGTTGTCAGGTGATTCATTTAATGTCGTCCTCAACTTCCAACAAGAATTGGCAGGCTCCATTAATGTCATCAGTTGAGAACTACCAATTTTTAGTAGGTTCTGATATATAAAACCAAACAACTCAAAGAGGGCGTACTTTGTTTTTCACATGGCTGCATATCTGGAAGCACTGGGGACAGATTAACCAGTTGCAGAGAGAATTACAAACACACACACCTACAAATGTATATATGTGAAAAATCCACGTTTTCAGCCTGAAAAATGTCCCAAAAGGGTTACAGTCAAACCTTCTGAGCTAAATTTAAGAGATGTGGGGGCTTTAACTGATGAAATGATGCCTAAAGCCTCTGCAAAAGGCAATTTCGCGTGGCTGCGACTCGCACCTTCCAGCCAGGATCCCCACTGACTTTGCCTACGAGAAACTAGCCGGGAAGGTCACAAATGGGGACCACGAGGGTGGGATGTTGCGACCATCATAGACGTGCATTGGCTGGCAGCGTCCGAACCAAACGGCCCAACTTGCTCCCGGCCCCTCCTCCCACCTGCCCTCAACTCACCTGACAGCCGATGCTTTGATCCTTGGAAGAGCACAAAAGACGCCCTGCAAGCCGCCTTCCACCCAGCAACGATCCGTTAGAGGAAGGTCCTCTCTAGGCTTCTCTTCTTCCTCCATCCTTCCTAGCAATAGAGCACTCGGTGGTTTTAACTCCTTTAAGATCAAGAACAGATGCCGCTCCTGTATTCACGGCTTTGTAGGCGCAGAAGTTGCCCGTCTGACCGCCACCTCCCGACAGGAGGCGGTAAAACACGCTGGTGCCGCCTCTGCCTAAAGCGTTGGCAAGATGTTGTCACCGATTAAATGCTATCAAGTTTTTTTTAGACTCCTAGCAACCATCAGCATATCTTTGCAACTGAAGCTTGTGAAGATTAGCTGCATGCTGAGTCCGAAATGTTTATGAAGTTCTTACAGAATTACAGAGTAAAGAAGGGACCGTCTCTCCAAGCAGGATCATTCCAGACAAATGGCTTTCCAATCTCCTCTTAAAAGCCTCCACTGATGCACCTCGCACAAATTGCAGAGGCAATTTGTTTCACCGATTATTTGTTCTCACTGACAACTTCTCCTTAATTCTAGATTGGATCTTTGTTCGATAAGTCTCCCTTTGTTACTTTTTGTCCTACTTTGACATTTTTGGGGAATAGATCGACCCTCTTCTCTGTGTCAATACCTCAGATATTGAAAGGCTGCTATCATGTCATCCTTTAAATTAGACACACCCAGTTCCTGCACGCGTTCATTGGATGTCTTAGCCTCCGATGCCCATTATCCCTTTTGCTCTGTTCTGCATACTTTTTCCAGTGTTTCAAAATCTTTTTTATATCACGGTGGCCAAAACTAGATGCAATATTCCGTGTGTGGTCTTACTAGGGTTGTATAAAGCGATACCAATACTTCACGTGACCTTGATTCTATCCCTGTTATTGCACTGCCTTGTCTCTTTTAGCAGCTGCCACAC